ACAATCAGGTAACAGTTCAGATAGCACAGACATTGTACACACAAGTTAGGCTCCAAGTGATGGGCAGAAAATCCAAAGCTGAACTTGTTTTGACCTCAGTCATTCTCTCCAGCGGACAGACCCTACATTCCAAACTTCTCTGCCTTATTACCACTGTCTGAAAGTTTACAATCACCCAGAATTTTAGAACATTTTTTGAACCCAGTCTTAATTTGGAACACATCTCTCAGATGACTATAGCTCATCGGCCTGTTCAGGTGGATGCTAAAGATCCCACAGCGCTGTTCGGAAAGAGAGAGAAGTCTCCCCGGTGTTCTGGCCAACAATCCCCCAGTAAATCTTGGTCACTCACTTCATGGCTGTTTGTAGGAAATTGCTGTGCACAAATTGGCTGCCATATTTGCCGACAAAATACACATAATCATTACACTTTAGAGTAAATTGTGTAAAACACTTTGAGATGTCCTGACATGAAAGACTCTGTATAAAATGGGAGGATTATTATTATGACTCTATGTAATCAGCTTTCCTCTGAGCGTCCCCGCAGTGAGAGGTTAGCTGATGATGAAACCCCCATTCTCTGCAGTAACTGTTTGTCAGTTTGTGGTCAGATTATCAAGGACTTCGTTAGGCAACATTTGATGTGTGCTTTCCTACTCCCTCTCTACAAAGCTCATTACGGAAACAGAGAAAGCACTCTCGCCGGCTCTTGTTCGGGCTGGAACCCCAAAACATAAAGTGAGGGTTAAACAAGAGAAATTTTTAGAGAAATTGGATGAGAATAAACCGAGAGGAGATACTAAAAAGGTTGACGGTGCTCAAAGTAGATAAATCACCCGGTCTAGACGGGCTACATTCTAGGTTACTGATGGAAATAAGGGTGGAAATAACGGAGGCTCTGGTCACAATCTTTCAATCCTCCTTGGACACCGAGGTGGTGCCAGAGGACTGGAGGGTTGCAAATGTTACTCCCCTGTACAAAAAGGAGTAGTAGGATAAACCCAGGAACTACAAACCAGTCAGCCTAACGTCAGTAATGGGGAAACTTTTAGAGATTATAATCCGGGACAAAATAAATTTTCGATAAATATGGGCTAATAAAGGACAGCCAACACGGATTTGTTAAAGGCAAATCATGTCTAACAGAGTTTTTTGATGAAGTAACGGAGAGGGTGGATGAAGGTAATGCAGTTGCTGTAGTTTAAATGGATTTTCAAAAGGTGTTTGATAAAGTGTCACATACAGACTTGTAAGCAAAATAAAAGCCCACAGTATTAAAGGGACAGTGGCAGCGGATACAGAACTGGCTGGGAGACAGGAGAGGATGCAAAGGAGATTGACCAGAATGGTACCAGGAATGAGACTGCAGTTATCAGGAGAGGCGAGAGAAGCCGGGATTATTCTCCTTGGAGCAGTGAAGGTTAAGAGGAGACTTAATAGAAGTTCTGAAAATTATGAGGGGATTCAATAGGGTGAACAAGGAGAACCTATTTGCACTGGCGGGTGGGTCGGTAACCTGAGGACACTGATTTAAAATAGTTGTTAAAAGAAACAGAGGAGAAATTTTCCACAAGGCGAGTTGTTCAGATCGCATTGCCTGAAAGGCTGGTGGAAGCCGATTCAATAACAACTTTTATGAGAAAAGTAGATAATTATTTGGGGAGGACAAGTTTACAGGGCTATGGGGAGAGAGTGGGGGAGTGGGGTTGATTTGGAAGCTCTTTTCAAAGAGCCGCCACAGACACGATGGGCCAAATGGCCTCCTTCTGCGCTGTATAATTCTATCTATGAAATATGTGCAATGAATTTACTTATTATTTTCCCCGGATTAGCTACTAGAGATGTAGTAAAACTCCCTCTACACTGTACAGGACCACTTTCCTTCACCACTGCTACATTGCCTGTTTCTGACCTCACTCAACAAGCTGCCGAAACCCTTGTCCACGCCTTCATCACCTCTTGGCTGGATTACTCAAACGTCCCCCTCTCTGGTCTCCCCTCCTCCGCTATTCACAAAATTCAACTCATCCAAAACTCCACCGCCCACATTCTCACCCACATTAAACTCCACCCCCCGATCACTCCAAGCCTTGCCAAACTCCATTGGCGGATCGACTTCAAGATCCTCACTCCAGTGTTCAAATCCCTCCATTCCTTGGCACCCCCTATCTCGCTAACCTCCTCTCTCCCCACAGCAGTAGCCGCTGCCTCCACTCTACTGGCTCCGGCTCCCTCCTTGTTCCTCAAATCCTCCACTCCACTAGTGAGTCCGAGGGTCACAGTCACACACAGTCACGCAATTACACACACCCATAATCACACATAGTTACACACAGTCACACCACTCTGCACTCAAAGTGCGTAAAGCCCCCTGTTACAACTTCAGGACATGACTGTAAGAGTGGAGGACGTCCAAAGGCACTGGACTGAGCTGGGGGTTGGGATCAGGTGGGATGGAGGGCAGGGAGGGTGACCGATGGTGGGGCGGGCCGAGCGGGGGATGTGGAGCAGGTCGGAGCTTGCTGAGCGGAGGGAGTGAGACAAGTTGATATAGGCCTTAGCCAACACACACGGGCCACCAACAGCCCTCGGCCCAGACACGCAGACCCGCCTGTCACATCACGTAACCAGCGCTGTAATCCCGGGCAGTCACACACTGCAGTGCAGTGCGGGTTCCTGGTTACTGTGAGGTATTGGGTCTAATTAAACTATTCATCAGCAACACAAACTTCAACAGACCTGTTACACCAGCCCATTGCTCTGAGGCAGTGGGGACACATCAACAGCCCCCCAACCCACACCGCAACACAGACACAGCCCCCCAACCCACACCGCAACACAGACACAGCCCCCCAACCCACACCGCAACACAGACACAGCCCCCCAACCCACACCGCAACACAGACACAGCCCCCCAACCCACACCGCAACACAGACACAGCCCCCCAACCCACACCGCAACACAGACACAGCCCCCCAACCCACACCGCAACACAGACACAGCCCCCCAACCCACACCGCAACACAGACACAGCCCCCCAACCCACACCGCAACACAGACACAGCCCCCAACCCACACCGCAACACAGACACAGCCCCCAACCCACACCGCAACACAGACACAGCCCCCCAACCCACACCGCAATACAGACACAGCCCCCCAACCCACACCGCAACACAGACACAGCCCCCCAACCCACACCGCAACACAGACACAGCCCCCCAACCCACACCGCAACACAGACACAGCCCCCCAACCCACACCGCAACACAGACACAGCCCTCCTCCCGCACCAACACACACACACACACGCAGCCCTGTTCAGTCCCGCACACAGAGCGCCGCGGGCAGTGTCACCCCCACAACATCACACTGAGCCATTCGGAGGCACTTGCAGTGTGAGGGCAGTGCGGATGGCCGGCGCGAGGCTGGGGGGGCAGTGCGGATGGCCGGCGCGGGGCTGGGGGCTGGGGGGGGGGGCAGTGCGGATGGCCGGCGCGGGGCTGGGGCTGGGGGGGGGGGGCAGTGCGGATGGCCGGCGCGGGCTGGGGCTGGGGGGGGGGGCAGTGCGGATGGCCGGCGCGGGGCTGGGGGCTGGGGCCTGGGGGCAGTGCGGATGGCCGGCGGGCGGCGGGGCCGGCGCGGGGCTGGGGTGGGGGCAGTGCGGATGGCCGGCGCGGGGCTGGGGGGGGTGGGGGCAGTGCGGATGGCCGGCGCGGGGCTGGGGGGGGGGGGGGCAATGCGGATGGCCGGCGCGGGGCTGGGGGGCTGGGGGGGGCAGTGCGGATGGCCGGCGCGGGGCTGGGGGGGGGGGGGGCAGTGCGGATGGCCGGCGCGTGGGCTGGGGGGGGGTGGGGGCAGTGCGGATGGCCGGCGCGGGGGCTGGGGGGGGGCAGTGCGGATGGCCGGCGCGGGGCTGGGGGGGGGGGGGCAGTGCGGATGGCCGGCGCGGGGGTGGGGGGGGCGGGGGGGCGGATGGCCGGCGCGGGGCTGGGGGGGGGGGGGGGGGGCAGTGCGGATGGCCGGCGCGGGGCTGGGGGGGGGGGGCAGTGCGGATGGCCGGCGCGGGGCTGGGGGGGGGTGGGGGCAGTGCGGATGGCCGGCGCGGGGCTGGGGGGGGGGGGGTGGCAGTGCGGATGGCCGCGCGGGGCTGGGGGGGGGGGGGCAGTGCGGATGGCCGGCGCGGGGCTGGGGGGGGGGCAGTGCGGATGGCCGGCGCGGGGCTGGGGGTGGGGGGGCAGTGCGGATGGCCGGCGCGGGGCTGGGGGGGGGGGCAGTGCGGATGGCCGGGCGGGCTGGGGGGGGGGGGGGGGGGGGGGGCAGTGCGGATGGCCGGCGCGGGGCTGGGGGGGGGGGGGGCAGTGCGGATGGCCGGCGCGGGGCTGGGGGGGGGGGGGGGGGGCAGTGCGGATGGCCGGCGCGGGGCTGGGGGGGGGGGGGCAGTGCGGATGGCCGGCGCGGGGCTGGGGGGGGGGGGGGGGCAGTGCGGATGGCCGGCGCGGGGCTGGGGGGGGGGGGGGGGGGCAGTGCGGATGGCCGGCGCGGGGCTGGGGGGGGGGGGGGCAGTGCGGATGGCCGGCGCGGGGCTGGGGCTGGGGGGGCAGTGCGGATGGCCGGCGCGGGGCGGGCGGGGGGGCTGGGGGGGGGCAGTGCGGATGGCCGGCGCGGGGCTGGGGGGTGGGGGGGGCAGTGCGGATGGCCGGCGCGGGGCTGGGGGGGGTGGGGGGCAGTGCGGATGGCCGGCGCGGGGCTGGGGGGCTGGGGGGCAGTGCGGATGGCCGGCGCGGGGCTGGGGGGGGGCAGTGCGGATGGCCGGCGCGGGGCTGGGGGGGGGGGCAGTGCGGATGGCCGGCGCGGGGCTGGGGGCTGGGGGGGGTGGGGGCAGTGCGGATGGCCGGCGCGGGGCTGGGGGGGCTGGGGGGGGGGGGGGGGCAGTGCGGATGGCCGGCGCGGGGCTGGGGGGGGGGGGGGGCAGTGCGGATGGCCGGCGCGGGCTGACCTTGCTGCGGATCTGTCCTGATGTGGAGACCTTCCTGATCAGTCTGTGCGGCTCCTGATCCCCGTCGCTGTCAGACGATTCCTCCCCGGGGTCGGCGGGTCCGAGCCCTGAGCACAGTGAGGACACCGAGGGGCGGGGGTCCCGGGGCAGGTACCCCACCTCCAGCAGCTTCCCGGCACCGGCACCGGCACCGGCTCCAGCCATGGGCACAGCCCACTATCCGCAGTCACCCTCACACTGGGCTGAGCTGAGCTGTCACTGTGTGTGTGTGTGTGTGGCTGTGTGACTGTGTGTGTGGCTGTGTGTGTGTGAGACTGTGTGTGTGTGGCTGTGTGTGTGTGTGACTGTGTGTGTGGCTGTGTGTGTGTGACTGTGTGTGTGTGGCTGTGTGTGTGTGTGACTGTGTGTGTGTGACTGTGTGTGTGTGGCTGTGTGTGTGTGTGACTGTGTGTGTGGCTGTGTGTGTGTGACTGTGTGTGTGGCTGTGTGTGTGTGTGGCTGTGTGTGTGACTGTGTGTGTGACTGTGTGTGTGTGGCTGTGTGTCTGTGGCTGTGTGTGTGGCTGTGTGTGTGACTGTGTGTGTGTGGCTGTGTGTGTGTGGCTGTGTGTGTGTGTGTGGCTGTGTGTGTGTGGCTGTGTGTGTGTGTGGCTGTGTGTGTGTGTGTGGCTGTTTGTGTGTGACTGTGTGTGTCTGACTGTGTGTGTGTGACTGTGGCTGTTTGTGTGGCTGTGTGTGTGTGTGTGTGTGACTGTGTGCGTGTGGCTGTGTGTGTGTGACTGTGTGTGTGTGGCTGTGTGTGTGTGTGGCTGTGTGTGTGTGGCTGTGTGTGTGTGTGACTGTGTGTGTGTGTGGCTGTGTGTGTGTGTGGCTGTGTGTGTGTGGCTGTGTGTGTGTGGCTGTGTGTGTGTGTGGCTGTGTGGCTGTGTGTGTGGCTGTGTGTGTGTGTGGCTGTGTGTGTGTGGCTGTGTGTGTGTGTGGCTGTGTGTGTGTGTGGCTGTGTGCGTGTGGCTGTGTGTGTGTGACTGTGTGTGTGTGGCTGTGTGTGTGTGTGGCTGTGTGTGTGGCTGTGTGTGTGTGTGGCTGTGTGTGTGTGTGTGGCTGTGTGTGTGGCTGTGTGTGTGTGTGGCTGTGTGTGTGTGGCTGTGTGTGTCTCTGTGGCAGAGCTGATGCGCATCACACACACTGTCTGAGTGTTACACCGCGTGAGTGTCTCTCTCTCTCTCTCTCTCTCTCTGGTGGAGCTGATGCGCTCCCAACATCACACTCACACTCACCCTCTCAGTCTCTCACACACTCACCCTCTCAGTCTCACACACACTCACCCTCTCAGTCTCACACACACTCACCCTCTCAGTCTCACACACACTCACCCTCTCAGTCTCACACACACTCACCCTCTCAGTCTCTCACACACTCACCCTCTCAGTCTCTCACACACTCACCCTCTCAGTCTCACACACACTCACCCTCTCAGTCTCACACACACTCACCCTCTCAGTCTCACACACACTCACCCTCTCAGTCTCACACACACTCACCCTCTCAGTCTCACACACACTCACCCTCTCAGTCTCACACACACTCACCCTCTCAGTCTCACACACACTCACCCTCTCAGTCTCACACACACTCACCCTCTCAGTCTCACACACACTCACCCTCTCAGTCTCACACACACTCACCCTCTCAGTCTCACACACACTCACCCTCTCAGTCTCACACACACTCACCCTCTCAGTCTCACACACACTCACCCTCTCAGTCTCACACACACTCACCCTCTCAGTCTCACACACACTCACCCTCTCAGTCTCACACACACTCACCCTCTCAGTCTCACACACACTCACCCTCTCAGTCTCACACACACTCACCCTCTCAGTCTCACACACACTCACCCTCTCAGTCTCACACACACTCACCCTCTCAGTCTCACACACACTCACCCTCTCAGTCTCACACACACTCACCCTCTCAGTCTCACACACACTCACCCTCTCAGTCTCACACACACTCACCCTCTCAGTCTCACACACACTCACCCTCTCAGTCTCACACACACTCACCCTCTCAGTCTCACACACACTCACCCTCTCAGTCTCACACCCTCTCAGTCTCACACACACTCACCCTCTCAGTCTCACACACACTCACCCTCTCAGTCTCACACACACTCACCCTCTCAGTCTCACACACACTCACCCTCTCAGTCTCACACACACTCACACTCCCTCAGTCTCACATACACTCTCTGTCTCACACACACACTCACTCTCAGTCTCACCCTTTTTTAGTCTCACTCACACACTCAGTCTCACACAAACTCACATTCTATCAGTGTCACACACATTCACACTTTCTCAGGCTCACACACTCACACTCTGTCTCACACACACACACAGTCTCACACACTCACTCAGTCTCATACACTCACACTCTCAGTCTCACACACTCACACTCTCAGTCTCACACACACACACACTCACCCTCTCAGTCTCACACACACTCTGTCTCACACACTCACACTGTCTCTCTCTCACACACACACACACACTCACCCTTCTCAGTCTCACACACACACATACTCTCAGTCTCATACTCACACTCAGTTTCACACGCACTTCATGCTCCCAGTCTCTCACACTCAGTCTCTCACACACACTATCAGTCACACACTCACACTCTCATTCAAACACACTCACTCTCAGTCTCACACTCTCAGTCTTGCACACATATACACTCACTCTCACACACTCAAACTCAGCCTCACACACTCACACTCAGTCTCACACACACATTCATGCTCTCAGTCTCTCACACTCACACTCTCAGTCACACACACACACTCAGTCTCTCACACACACTATCAGTCTCTCACACTCTGTCTCACACTCACACTCACTCCCAGCCTCACACATTCAGTCTCACACAATCACACTCTCACACACTCACACTCACACACTCACACTCAGTCTCACACAAACACACACACTCAGCATCACCCACTCACACTCAGTTTCACACACACATTCATGCTCTCAGTTTCTCACACACTCACACTCTCAGTCACACACACACTCAGTCTCTCACACTCACTCTCAGTCCCACACTCTCAGTCTTGCACACACATACACTCACTCTCACACACTCAAACTCAGCCTCACACACTCACACTCAGTCTCACACACACATTCATGCTCTCAGTCTCTCACACTCACACTCTCAGTCACACACACACACTCAGTCTCTCACACACACTATCAGTCTCTCACACTCTCAGTCTCACACTCACACTCACTCCCAGCCTCACACATTCAGTCTCACACACTCACACTCTCACACACTCACTCTCACACACTCACACACTCACACTCAGTCTCACACACACATTCATGCTCTCAGTCTCTCACACACTCAGTCTCTCACACACACTATCAGTCTCACACTCTCAGTCTCATGCTCACACTCACTCCCAGCCTCACACACTCATACTCTTTCAGTCTCACACACACACTCTCAGTCTTGCACACACATACACTCACTCTCACACACTCACACTCAGCCTCACACACTCAGTCTCACACAAGCACACACACTCAGCATCACCCACTCACACTCAGTTTCACACACACATTCATGCTCTCAGTCTCTCACACACTCAGTCTCTCACACACACTATCAGTCTTACACTCACGCTCAGTCTCATACTCACACTCACTCCCAGCCTCACACACTCACACTTTCAGTCTCTCACACACACTTATCAGTCTCACACTCACACTCTCAGTCTCACACACACACACTCTCATCCAAACACACTCACTCTCAGTCTCACACATTCATACTCAGTCTCACACACACACACTCTCAGTCTCACACTCAGTCTCGCACACACATACACTCACTCTCACACACTCACACTCTCAGTCTCACACATTCACACTCTGTCTCACACACACTCAGCCTCACACACTCACACTTTCTCAGTCTTACACACACACTCATACCCTTAATAATACACACCCACACACACTCTTAGTCACGCACACACTCACACTCTCAGTCTCGCACACACACACTCACTCTCACACACGCTCGCGGTTGTGAGTTAGCCTCAGCCTTGTGCTCACAGACACAACACAGCTAAAGGACAGCGGGGGGAGCAATGTCTGCAGGTTAAACCCGACTCAGTTTCATCCCCTTGCCCCCAGCCCCTCCACCACAACCGCTTCCCCCACATTGCCACGCAAACAGCAGGAAGCTCGCTTGAGCAAGCTCTTTCCTCATTTCCTTTTACACTAACCATCTTCAGTGGCTAAACACTGGCTCGCTGGCACCAGTGCAGCTCACAGCAAGTTCACAGCGAGGGAGAGTCTACCTGCCTGGCCACAGCCGGTAAAGCTTGCAGCTTCTTCCTCTCCTCTCAGCTCAACTGCCCACACTGGTTTAATAATAATAATCCTTGCATTTGATATAGCGCCTTATCACGTCTTCCAGACGTCTCAAAGCGCTTCACAGAATATACTGTTAAGTGAATTGACTGTATTTGTGAGTGAAACGCGACAGCCAATTGCGCACAGCAGCGTCCCACAAGCAGTCGTGGATTGAAGTGACCAATTTATTATTAATTTATTCTTAAGGAATTATTGCTCCTGAAAAACGATCCACCAATCAACTAACAACTAGGTTCGTATTCACTGCTGGGTAAACAGAGGTGTGGGGAGTAAGGAAACTTGCCTAAGGTTTTGCTCTGCCCAGGAATCAAACCTCTCGTTTGCAAGGCGAGTGCTCTAACCCATGCCTTACAGGATTCCATGATAATATTTCTTGGAGCAGAGGACATTAAGGGGTGATTTGATTGAGGCATATAAAATAATGAAAGCACTTGACAGTGGACAATTCTTTCCTCTAACAGGGTTATCCATTATAAGAGCCTGAAAATCAAAGCCAAGACAGAACTGAGGTCAGGAAGCATTTCTTCACAAGAGGGTTGTGAGGTAGTGGAATGCTTGGCCCCAGAAAGTTATAGAGACACAATCAATAAGAATTTTCAGGTTAGCAGAGTTATAGAGAGATGTGATGTAAGGGTGGCATTGGGACTGAAAAAATCCAATGATAAAATTCCTCCAAATAAAATTGGTCATTTTGCTGCCCACAGCACAGAAACTGCTCTGGTCAAGGTCACAAATGATATCCTGACCATGTGTGACCAGGGCTCCCTCTGCCTCCTCGTCCTCCTCGACCTCTCCAC